GGGACTTTTGTGTCCGGTGCCCTTTGTGCCCTCCATTCAGGGCACTCTTCACCAGTCATCATGGAGGGGACACTGCACCATCTGGGGAGCAGCTGGACATAAAGCATCCTAGCTTAGAAGAGGAAGAGGAGAAGCAGAGACACCGGCACAGAATAATTTGATCCTTCAAGTGACTGACAAGATGAAGACTCAAAACTGGTGGATCTCCTTCTTCTGTCTTGGGTTTCCTCATTGTGTAAGCCAGAAGTTCCCAACCCCCAGTCAGTATTGCACCAAGCTACAGAACACTGCGGCTTCAGTGGAGGGGTTGGTTAATTTCCAGAAACAAACTCACGTTCTGATCGCATCTGAAAAAAATGGAAAGAATTAAACTTATTAAATTGCTGATGGATGTGCTGGTTTGCACCAGCTGTTTCACTGCTCCGCGACATAGTTGTATGACATAAACCAGTCCATGGCCATCAAAAGGTTAGTGACCCCTAAAGAAAGCGACCAGCCTCCAGAGACAGTGTGCGCGGATTCTACAAGTGGTCTTAAGCATCCATCCAGTGAGGCTCACCATCCATGTTATGTTGACTTCATCTTTAATCCCACCCTCAGAAACCAGCTGAGGTCACATTGCTATAAAACTGTACAGCATAATGGGTTAATAACAAGCTGCCCCATTCTTGATTACCCTCTCTACCGGAATTAATCGGCCAGGCCATGGTCTCCCTAGGCTTCATCCACTAAGGGCAGCAAGACTCCCCTGAAATTGGTGTATAATAAGAATGTGCAGTATACCGGAGGAGTGTGCAATATTTAAGCAACGTTATAAGTATTTGCCCCTCCATTAACCTAGGGACCTAAATTGATAGCATGCAGTGCTATGAAATTGACTCAGTACCATGTGTAAACAGCTGTACAGTTGCCCCAGATCCACAGTGCAACACATAGAAAAATTAGGGGCTATATGTACATGGACTTATCCGCAAGTCATAACACATATTCAACCTATAGTCAAGCACTAGTGATACACACTATATGTAGTGTAAGCAAAGACAAGCAAGTGCAGCAACATGTGATATTCTATATATAAACAACAACCCGAAGGAAATGCAGAGCAGTGCACTGCATTTGTGATTAAATAAACGGTACGTTGTAAATATAGCAGCAGAAGGAGCACTAGAGTGCAATTAAACAATAAATAAGTTGCCAGGGGGGAAGGATTGCAGGCCCTTTTAGGTTCAGGCAGGTAGGGTGGGGGCAGTAAGATGCTGAGGGTCCTGAAAGCCTCGGGGAAGAAGGTTTTCTTTGCAGAACTGGTGGCAGTAATGCGATATACAGCTTTCTTAGGCTGCTTTCACTGACGCTGCAGGGCCCCCATAATTCAGCCAATATTTGTACATCTTCTACAACAGCCAAGAAGGTCAATTCTTTAGGCTTCCTCAATAACCAACTGCTCCTCTTGAGACCTAGCTAGAACTGCTCAATAACCCACTAGCCTCCTCAATAAATCTACCTGTATCCAAAGTTTTGTTCTTAATATCAGTTAACATTACGGAAAGTCCTCGCTGAACGACACGCAAGCTGCTCACATCGTCTTAATGGTGATGACTTTGGTTGCCATCACAATGACAATACAAGATCTAATGCATGTCAGAACATGGATCTGGGCATAATTCCATCTCCACCTTCATCCTCAGACATCTCTCTGCTCTCTTCTCATTGGACATGGGCAAGACATCTCTTCACCAGACTCCAGTGTTTCCATTTCCCAATATCCCATTGATGTTCATGCAAACAATAGTATCAGTAGTCAACATAATCTCATAAAGGCCCCTTTGCACCTATCCTCCAATCCCCCTTCAGGCCAAACCCTTCCCTAGAACACTAAGCCCCTGCCTCTGGGATTTCAGACTCAATGCTTGGGCTTTTTGCCACTCCCTTGTAATTTGTTCATTATCTCAGTCTCCGACCTCATGCTAACCTCTCCACTAATTCTCCACTATTCCCACTCTATGGAGGGACAGGACAAAAAAAACTTTATCTGCATGCTAGATATACATACCCCAATATTCCACAAAAATGAATGACTACCAAAAAAGGCTATATCTCTGTCAACAACTGAAGGACTGTTATCAGATACCTCGTGGTAGGATACTCGTCATTCTATACACGGATGCAAAAATCATCAGACATTAATTTACACCCTGTACTGACATTCCACATTAAGGGTGACGCTATAGCAACTCAAAACAAATGCGGATGGTACCTCATTCATCCCACATTATCAGGACATAAATTGTCCATTTTATTGCAAAGGGTGCTTCACTCTTAGCACTGAATCAATATCCTTTAGAATCAAGTTATAGGCTCCAATAATAGAGCTGAATTCCTGCCAAAACTGTGCACGTTTAATTCGGGTGATGAAGTGATAATTGGGGTTAATATGGTGCCAGAAGTTTGAGTGATTAGCTGTGAATCATTGGTCGCTGGCACCATACCGTTTTATCAGGTACCTCTAGTATTGTGGGATAAGCTGCTAGAGTCGGCCAAGTGTCTGATGTGCAATTACTTCCTGCTTTGATACCTCATCATATTTGGGTTGATGAGCTGCCCTTCCTTTAGCAGATAACGTCGCTCCACCTCAGACATAATATCCCGTTTATCTCCACCTTTGTCAATCCCACCTTGCAGCTAAGCTGCCATAAACTTTCAAAAGCCCACCAGGACCCCTTGGCCGCTATCTCTTCCACCTTGACCACCTTTCCCTCAGGGTCACTGGCGGTCCTACCTCTCCGTGCCTTGGACTCCTGGCTGCCCTGAAACGCAGAGCTGTCCCCTATCCAAGGTGACTCCAAAGTGGTATCCAAAGTGAATTCTGTAGTGGCAGAAAAACAGTCACGGCTAGGAGTATATCAGAAACACAAACTATCTTGAAAACACAAACACAAAACATGTCCACATATGACCCCCCCCCCCCCCAAGGCTTGGTGTCTGGAAAAGTTTGCTATGCCATTCCTCAGTGTGTCTAAGCTGCTCTTTGCTAGTGCAATTTTACAATTTCTTTTGGCTCACATTTTGGTCCAGTATAATTCCCCAGATTTCCCCCCCTTTGATCTGGCCAGAATTATATTACTTTCATTTCCAATTTTTTCAGAGAAAATAGACAAATATGCCATGGAAAGGACACAGAAACGTGGTCAGAACACACATCACTAATAATCACACACACAAGTGTGTGCATGTGCAACATATGTGTGTATGTATGTATTTTTCCAGCTTGGTTGGGGGTGACAAATGAGACTTCAAACTAAGCACAATTTGGTGGAGTCCTCACACGTGATACTATAAGATATTGCTTCCCACAAGCAGCACCGTCAGCCAAGACAGGTGTGGCTCAGAAACATTTTTTTTTCCCTTTCCTCTGTGGAAAATATTGTCCTTTTTTATAATTTATGATTTCATTCATTTTCGCGGGCAAAAAGAAACTTCACGGAAAAGGTGACATTCATCACCGCACCTCGTATGATTGGTCGGGCACAAAAATGTAGAAATAAACACCTCCGGCTTTTAATTCCGACGATCCAAAAGCAGGCCTCTTTTAAGGCCTGTCGGCATGACTCACTGATCGTCAAAATGATTTCCAGTCTGTCCCCACGCCTCCTAACATCGCTTTCTCCAGACAGATAGCAGGTAGCGGCTCACTTACGTATAGCGCACCAGACGAACGGCAGACGAGTTCACGCCCTCAAACATGGCGGACGAGGCAGCAGGTGCCGACCGGTGGGAGTTACGCAAGGCAAAATGGCAGCCATAAAAACAGAAAAGGACGTGTCTGTGCACACGGCACGCATCATAACTCTGTGCTTCTAGATGCGTTTGCACCATGATTTACCCGCAACAGCTCAATGACTTGAGGTAGGGATGACAGCTACGAGTTGTTAAAGATATTCATTTACCAGACGCTACCGTCATGTGTTTGTTTGTTGTGTTAGACGGATAAAGGCACTGATATTTTATATTGAGAGCTAGGCATCCACACAGAAAATAAACAAATATTTACATTGTTAAAATAAATAATCACATCCATTGAATGCTAATGATCCTCTGCATAATTCGATTTGGTTAAACCAAAAAAATATGCTTATCAATCCCATTACTGCCATTTTGTTTTCCCAAATTCAGGGTTACATGCAGAGTTTGCAGGTGCCATCCTTAGTTTCCAAAGCCTTACAGGAAAACTCAGTCAAGGCTCGCTGCAAGTCAGGCTGTTGTTCTGCTGTTTTAGTATACAATGAAGATGTCCATGCATGTGGAATGAAAACAAGTGCATATAACCTCAGAAATGCATGGGAAAATGTCAGAAAACCTCTTTTTGACAGCAAGATTTCAAGTACAAGTCATACAGTTCAGTATTATAGATGTTCATACAGTAGTAAGTGGCATTGAATAATATCTGCCAAGCTGACTGATACCATGTGGTTAAGGTCAAGGACATAAAATTCAGGGACTCAGATTTATCACCAGAAGGTTGCTGTTCAGCCCCTTGGGACCCTGTTACCCTTTCACTAGTCATAAAAACAGATTCAAGCGTAGGATGAAAGCATGGTGATGATTAACATACAGCAAAATCAAAACACAGGCTTTGAACATACAGTCAGTCAGCTTATCAGAAGATTATCCAAAGAGCAAGCAAAGATTTGGGCCCAGACTAAACACAACCTGGCACAGCTACTGGTAAAGCCCACTCAAAAACAGAGCTCCCAGTCATTCCAGCAAAATGTCATAATCAGTTAATAGCTTGGGGAGACCCTTGTAGTGGAAATCTGCTAAAGTTTAAATAACTGGTGTAAAAATAGATTGAAAAAGGGAAGTGAAATATCACTGAAATAACAGCTCTTTCTGGTCTGTTATCAGAGCTGGTTTACCAGAGAGATCAGTAAACAGATATAAACAATTTAGGGTGTGTACTGCCCATAAGCCCAGAGCGTCAATGGGGTTCATTTGCATGTAAAACTAATTTACGTCACATTAAGCATTTTCAATAAAACCAAAACCACTGGATTTTACTTTCTTTTCATAAAGACTGCAGTGCTTTAGATAATTCCTCATTCATCTCCAAGACAAATTTGAGGAGATACTTAGTAAGAACATGGGTGTATTGTTGTGGCATCTACCAGTAGAGCCACATCTGTCCAATGGGATGAAGTGTTAAAGGACTGACTCCTGGTCTGGCTGCCTACGTGCAGATGGTCTAAGAGACGTCCCTGATCTGCACTGAAAGCTTCCTTAGATAGTCCTGTGGTCCTGCTCCAGCACCAGTTTCAAGGCAAGAAGGAAAGTGTGGCATTGTTCTCAACTTTATCACGGTCGCATTTGAGTGATTTTCACGCAAATAGACTACTTTAATCAGGGCATGCATTCCAAACAGGCCGGTACAGACAGTACTCAGTCTCATTTGACTACAGTGCTCAGCCTGCCCCCTGGTACTGGGCCTGTCTGCTGCCGCATCCCTCCGTCGCTTGCATACAGTCAGACAGAGGCCACCCAGGGGAAACAGCTTTGCTAAGTTCATTAGCCGATGCCAAGGAACCCCAGTCTCAGTTGTAGGTGCTGCCGTGAGGCCTCACCGACACCCTGCAGGCTGGGGAGCCAAGACTAATCACACACTTCAATTCAAGGGATGAATACTGCATGATGTTTCCTGGCTGAGAGTTGAAAGATAACCACAGCGGCTTCTCTGAGGACATGGGGAGGGGGGCAGTACAGACAATGGCTACAGACAGCCCACCATATTCCTCTATTTCGCTCATAAAACAGTAATCCTCATTTCTTGCCATTCACAAAAGCAGCACGAACACTAAAAGCGCTTAATCCGCAGCCTTTGGCGCCGCATTAAAGGGAGAATCCATTACAGATTGTGCTGCAGGGGCTCTCATGTGGTGGGTTCTTACAAAGGAAACAGGAGGCCGCCCATTTGTAGAGGCCTCTCTTGCTGCAACCTGATATCACAGCAAGCTTGGTTTTCAAGGGTCTAGCTCCTTCAGTGAGACTGGTGGAGGTGTGGGGATGTGGGTCTGGGGTCTCAGCGCTACAAACACGGCCATACCGACATTTTCTGCCTGACCTCGATTGTGCACGACTACTTCGAACTCATCCTGTGCTGCTAACATTCCACTACAGTTGGGTATCATTATAGATCTTTGGGATTCTGGTGCTAAAGAGACGCTGTAAAAAATGTACTGAAATGATTTTCGTCACTATAGATAGATAGATAGATAGATAGATAGATAGATAACTGTATTGTCATTGTCATAAAACAATGAGGAGATTGGCCTCCTCTCGTTTGTATAGTAATGAAATTGAAGTGCCTCTTCTGAACTGGCACTTAAAAAAAGCACAAAATGAAGATTGACGACACTAAAGAACAACTTTTCTAAAGCTAAATTGAACTTCAAATTGAGCAATATATTAACCCATTAATTATATAAATGTAAATGAACACAAAAAGCATAACAAATTTACATAACAAATTCAAATAATAAATAAAACCTAACCCAGCAACAACAGTTTTACACTAAATAACTTAACACCTTACATATGTAAAAAATTATAAATAAAAACTAACCCAACTACAGTAATTTGTTCCCCCCTTTACACACAGTTGTTTTTAAACATTTGTTGCACGTCCTGATGTTGGAATCCTTTCGGGTGAAATACAGCCACACTTTAGATCGTTTAGCTTTAAGCATTTTTACCGTGTTACCTGCTAGCTAATGATAGGCATCTGCTGACATCAGAGCAAGTGTAACGTTAACTAACGATAATAAGAAAACGATAAAAAAAAAAAAAAAAAACTAACGATGGCACGTGAGGTGCAGCGATGCTTCTGTTGCCTGAGCATCACCGGGGAAATACTTCAACCTACAGCTCAGGCATTAAGTGGCACTGAAAAGAGCCACTGGAATCTGTGGTGCCGTACGGTCTGGTACATGTAACATATGATACCATCAACATCAGAGCATAAGTAAAAGATATAAGTATTAGTCACTGTCCACAGAGTACAGCGCCTGGGTGACTTTCAAACCTCTTCAGAAACACTCCAGCTAGATAACAACTGCAGCCACTCAGACCGAACAACTTCGCTGTGCATGTGCCGAATGTTCAGATGTTAACGGAAAGCACCAGACAGGATCTGCTGCTCCTCAGACCATATGCTTACAGGATGAGCTGAGGTTGCGTCCACCACTTCTGCTCTCACTTCTGCTGGTGACCACTTCAGTCAAGTGAATTTTCTGATTCTCTGTACAGAAGCCCTTCTCTGATGTTATGCCCTAGAGGTCTACCTGGGTAGTAGTTAGGGACTTGTAAACAGATGGTTTGAAGTTCAAGTCCCAGGAAGGGCCTTGGAGAGGAGGACATTGAGAAATACGCTGAAGCTGAACTTATATAAATAATTATCAAACTATATGAGCTGAGGGGAAATGGATGTAGTTTTGAATAAATGTATTAGGTATACAACTACACCATAAATGTGAAACGATTCCTGAGAATTTTCTATATTGCTGACAGTCCTAATTAAGTTAAACCCATGCTACAGCTTCAGACCGTGTTGGCTGGTGCTGGCTGTGTTTTTGGTGTTATCAGGGTAGGTAAACAGATAGGTCAGGGTGCCTACAATCAGGTAATTAGGACAAATTTCTGCCCTCACATATGCTGCCATTGAGGGATTTCACTTTGCAGAACAATGGCTGTTTAGAATGTCTTTCAGCACTATTGTTTCTATGTTAATGGAGCTGGGTGGTGCTAGATTTCTGATCTTTTTCAAAAAACAAGCACTTCTCACTTTGTACTCACACAGTTCTTATCAGCTACTAAAGCCTTGATGACAAGTTATATATTTTTGTCTACTTGTGTTTGGTTCTAGCTTTTATCACAATAAAAATGCAACCACAATATGAAGTATATAAGTATTTACTGTATCATATAACTGAATGAAAAAATCTTTTGGGCAAAACAAAGCACTTTTTTTAGTCAATAGCAGCAATAAACCCAAGCCCCATACACAACAATATTTGGCCAAATTCACCACAAAAGGTGCCTGTTTGACAAATAGACACAAACAGTTATGCTTCATGTTTTAAAACCATATAGTAATTTGTTAGATAATTACAGCACTTCGATAATGGACAGTCTGTAATTGCACCAACTCAATTTTCTACATCTAATTTTTCCCTCCATCAAATCCACAAAAATCACGCCTGATTCTAGACAGTAAGCAATTAACAGCAGAAAAACCGTATCTAGTGAAAGATCAGTCATAAAGAACATAAACTAATTCATCCAAAATAAATCCAATTATACCAAACTAAGCTGAAGGAACAGGTACATAAATACACTGCTATATACAAGATCCCCGTCTATGGCCACAAAAACAGAAATATTTTATTCTAAGGATCGGGGCTGCTTTGTTTACCCTACTCAGAATTTCTTGCAGAGGACACAATCAAGTTCTCTTGTTTGAATGTCTTTGAACAAGAACTTCAAAACACCAATTTAGTCAACAAATACCAGTAGACCATATGCATTTTTAAGAAAATGGACCAGTGTACTGTAAAAATCTTTCTAAACACAGCT